AAGCTTCTAAGCGCCTGAAGCGCTATCTAGTCGTCTCTGAAGGCACCACAACCACGCCGACCACCACTGAACGGACACCCCGTCTGCAATTGGATCGCCGCCCCGACTACCCACTCGTAGCAGTACTCGTAAACGGCACCCAACAATCTGACCGTATCACAGCGGGAATGCCAACCTACTTGCGTTTAGCACGGCCGCCGACCATCGATGAAACCATCGAGCTGTTTACCCTGGCGCCGGATCAGGCCGTGCCATTCATGCTCATGGCACGCTACTTCGACCGCCGCAACCAACCCGATCCAGGTGTCCCACCGCAAATGCTCGTCATGGGTCCTCCGGGCACAGGCAAGACTCAGTTCGTACACGCACTGCTGTGGTACACGTACCAACATGACAGTCCTGACTGGGCCGCCACGTGCGCATACTCTTGGGCCGCCGCGATCGCGTTCAACACCCCAGTCCATCGCAGCCTATCTACCCACTCCATGTTCGGCATCTCAGCCAGCCAAAGCGGCTCCCGTGGCACCAACTTTCCTAAGCGCGGCGCACATGCTGGCCTTCAAGTAAAACGCAACGTCGGCGATGGCGCTGTGCTCATCGACGAAATTGGCATGCAAAGCCACGAGCACCTCGGCGCCATCAGCCACTCCTGCACAGCCAGTCTGCCGCCTCCGCCACACCTTGGGCCCGCCCATGACAGCAGCCGCGTCTTATCCGGCCGTGCCGCGGGCGGAATCGGTGACCTGCTACAGCACCCTCAGCCAGGCGGTTCACCACCGTACCGCTACGCCGCCGACGTTGAGCGAAACCCCCAGTTCACTCCCTCGGCACCGACAGCACAACGCACACCAGCTTCGCTTGACGAAGGTCGAGGTCACCGTCATGATGACAGCAACAATGACAACACTGACGCAGACGACGACACCGGCAACCATCGCGCCACCACATCCACACGTCGCACTCGTCGCCCCGTGCCACAGACGCACACCCGCCTACACGACGGCTTCAACCTGTACCGTCAGCTCGGCGGCACCGTATTCATGCTGCAGAAACAGCAGCGGCAAGACAACAGCCCATCTGGCCAGCAGCTTACCCGCTTCGCAACCATGTTCGGCGGCATTCCAACCACTGAAGCACGTGTCGCAGATCTAGTAGACGCACTCAACCAACGCGTCATCACAGATTTGTCCGATCTCACAGACCTCGAACCCCGCGTCGTGCTGCAACGGAACGAACCCAGGCACGCGCTCAACACACGCCTCCTGATGCTCCAGGCGCGCCGCAAAGGAGCGCGTTTGGTCAGCTGGAATGCGGACCACGTCCCGGTTAGGCAACATGGCGCAACCCAACAACAGGCGCTCTCACACGTCGAAAAGGCTGTCGCAATGCGAGTAAAAGACGCCACCTTCGACCACACCACCGCCGACACTTGGTACTACGAGGGTGCACGCTACACCCTACTCGACACCACAGCTGCCGACGCCGGCGCGTGCCACAACAATGAAGTCGAGGCGTGTGGCCTGCTTACCGACAGCCGTGAACCGCCCGACGATGGCCGCGGCCCGTACTGGCGCCTCCACTACCTACCCGCAGCCGTCTTGGTCCGTCCCATTAAAGGGCACACGCCCAAAGCGGTGCTAGCAGACTTATCGGACTTCGCAGCCAAAGGTGCTGCCTTCGCCATCGTACCACGGCCCTCGCCGGCAGCAAACATCACCGTGCCAGCCGCCAACACCGGCACCACCACCAAAAATGTACGTCGAGTCAATGTACCGCTTGGTGACTACTACGCCGTCACCGACTACTTCGTACAGGGCCGTAGCTTCAAGGAAGAATGCTGGGTCGCAGACCTTTCCGTCCCGCCCGGTGGCCTCAAGCGTGCAACCATGTACGTGTTGCTCACCCGCTACAAGACACTCGACCACATCCGCCTCCTGCGCCCGCTCTCTACCACACCCGATGAACGAACACGAGTCGTCAAACAGTTCATGGCAGCAACCAAGCTGGACCCCGACCTGGCGGCCGAACTCCGCCTCCTGGATCGCCGTGCAACCGAAACACGTGAACGCTATACGACCGAGTACAAACACGCCAGAAACCTAGAGGAGCGTTGGACCTCCGCAGCCAACACCACCTGACACGTAAAACAGTTCGTCTGCCTCGCCACTGGATGGCGTTAAATGCCAGCGTTGCACGGCTCTCTAGCCGTCCGACGACACGCCCGCACGGCTGGGTGCATCCCTTGCACTTGTGGGTTCGACTCCCACACGGGTGTACTACAAGTATACGCACGCTCCGTCGTACTCGTGCCGCCCAGCCGGGGGACTACGGCCCCCTCGCGGGCGACCAAGCCCGCGTCTAGTTACAGCATAGGTTTAGGGAAACATTATAGTATAATAGTATCGCAGTCTTAGGTTCGATTCCAATACAATGCGCGAAATGGATTTCAATGTAAGAATAACCTACATGTGGATACCCTAATAAAGGGCGCCTACCAATAGAGGTGCATGTGAGAATGCAGAGGTCGAAACGTGTGTTTGAATTTTCATCATGACCCTTAAGAATCCCACATTTTTTAAGGCTTAAGAATGTAAGCAGCAAAAAGAATTTCCTGAGAATATGACTTAAGAATGAGTGCCATACTTAGCGAACCTATGGTAAGAACGGTTAAAACCGGCCAAAGAGCAGCTAAGTATGCTTTAGGCAAAGAATGAATAAGTTGGCCTAAGAATGTATAAGAACACCCCAAAGAACGAAAAGAATACATAAGACTGCTGGCCCTAAAGAATGCTAAAGAATGGTAAAGAGTGGTTTTATTTCTTAAGAATGAGACTTAAGAACGAGTGCCATACTTAGCAACCCTATGATAAGAATGGTTAAAACCGGCCAAAGAGCAGCTAAGTATGCTTTAACACTAAGTTGGTCTAAGAACGAATAAGAACACCCCAAAGAATGGAAGAGAATACCTAAGACTGCTGGGCCCCAAAGAATGCTAAAGAATTTCAAAGAATGGTTTTAAGATAAACGGATGCCTTACGAACGTTCTTAGAACGTTCTTAGAACGGTGTAAGAACGTTCTAATGGTTATTCAATTTTATCAATTTGGCTGGGCTAAGAACGAGTTAAGAACGTTCTTAACCCCCCTCCGTGTTTGTAGGGTCGCTGGTCGTCCGTGCTGCCTCTGGAAGACAGACGCCTCCGCGAGATCCCCAGTGACCCTCCGTACACCGGTCTCCGGCACAAATCAAGTCTCCCCAACCCGATACTAGCACCATCCCTCGACCCACATGTACGCCGCGACACACCTATAGTGTGGAGCACGACCACGGAGAAGCCACACCATCCCCGCGCAGAGCCAGACGACATGGAGAGTGACCCACCAGCGCCGCCGAGCCACCCTGCGGAACCAGCCTGCACAGGACGGAAATGCACAAGATCCGTCCACCAGCGGCAACAGGATTTCATCAACAACAATACACGCTGTGACAACAGTAACGTGGGAACAGATAGTGCAGCTATACACGGCGTGCAACTCCGCGACCCGGCCCCGCAATGCACATCCTATATGGAAGCGAGACGCGTCATGGCAGCTCTGCGAAAAGACACCCGTAGGAGTGTGCCCAACCTAGGGAACCCCCCTGGGCCTATCGTCCAGGGACCGCGACCGCGCCCAAACCGGCAAACCCGTCGCACTCTAAGCATCGGCATGACCCCCGTGACAGGAGAAATCGGTACCCCAAACCCAGTGCTGGTGTACCTTGCAGAAAAGGGACTCGACTGTACGCCGGTAGCGCCACGTAACCCTCGCGCCGGCGCAGGCACGGAGGCGGCAGGGGCCGGCCCGAACACCGCCGACAGGGACCACGCCGGTGATCCGCCTGCACCCGAACCGGCCGGAGTGCTACCGGGGACGCCGAAGCCACCAGAGCACCTCACCCCGCAATGGTGGAGACCTCGATGGAAAGTCGCCCGCGACCAAATACTGGAGGACAGGATACCCTGGAAGCCTGGAAAAGGCCAGGCAAAGGACACAACGGGGCAACAACAGATAGTTTATGACCTATACAACGATATAGAGGACATCGTAGAAGTACTCGCGGGCCCTATCACAAAACGCATCGTCCCCTCAAACGTTAAACCTCCCAAGAAACAGAAAATCGGGGCCGATACGACTGCAACCCACGAACAGTACTACACAGTTCGCTGGAAAGACACTATCACCCCGATATCTATCGTCGGCGCATACGCCAGCATGGGATACGTGCCCAGACAGCTACTACCAGTGACAGGTCTTTACGGCACGCGGATCGACCGCCACTTCTGCAGAGCGGTATGGGAACCGTCAGATATCCCCGCCGCGCAACTCGGTAGGTTACCCAACGGACCAGCGGCGATGGCGAGGTACGAGCAAACGAGGTCGCAGAGTGTGAACCCCCTCTCGAGATACCCCAAACCCAAGGACAGCAATCTAACGAACCCTCAGAGGCAAGGCCGATGGAACCCGCCCCCCTCGGAGCAGACCCAGCGGGCACGCCTTATTCGAGCAAACACTACCTTTGAGACTACGCCGTGCAACCCATACATGGACACGCGCCCCACGGGAAATTATCGAATCCAGCTAG